ATAACCAGTGTCATATATATCATATGTGCAAATTTGCATGCGGTCAATTTACACATACACGGGTGTGTATTCCAAGTTATTTCACTAACAATACAAGTTATATTTTCATGTTTAAAAATCACAAGTCAGACTCACAAGGTATCATTCTAACCTGAAAGATGAGGATTTTTATATGTACCTCATTTTGTAAAATAAATTGGTAACATGAGGTCTTATTGTCAACGCTGTCGTCATGGCATTGTCGTGATATGACTATAACGTGTTATTAAACTCACGACTGAAAAATATAACAGCAGTATCTGATAATCAATGGTACCAAGCCTAGAACTTACGTTGATAAGTAACGGGTAAGAGCAAGTTTTAAAATTTTGGTCCAAACGGACCATCATACCCCATCACTGGAATGGAACAGCATGTGCCTCACACAATATCTCAAAAAACAATGGATCACATGCTCGCCTAAAAGGTGGGTGTGCTTGATCATCGCTCATGTGTAGCTGATAGTTGTGTTACTTTTATTTGTCAGGGGACGGCGGGGTAGCCTAGTGGTTAAAACGTTGGCTCGTCACGCCGAAAGCCCGGGTTCGATTCCCAACATGGGCACAATGTGTTAAGCCCATTTCTGGTGTTCCCCGCCGTGATATTGCTGGAATATTGCTAAAAGCGGCGTAAAACTAAACTCAGTCAGTCAGTTTATTTGTCAGAAACAACTTGCAACACACTTTCTGTACAAACATTATGTTTATGATCAAGCGTCTCTTCACATTATTTTTATAGTATATTTCTACTGGAATATAATTCTAAGGTTCTTTCACAGATGAACCTATATCATGTTCGCGGCAAAGGCCTGCATGACACCCCCGATGGACCTAGTGACCTGATCGACAGGGTATAGCATCGTCAGCAGGGTCGTCATGATCCCCAGGTTCATCCTCATCCTGGTGCTCATCCCACTCATCATCACATTTCTGGTTATGCATTTCACAAACATTATGCAACAATGCAGAGGAGGCAATGAAACTGCAGGCAAACTGCATTCTTGCACGACTTATAAGTCTGTGATTGACAACCTTGAAAAAGGTGCTCAGGGCACTCACATGAACCCTTTATTCCGTGGGATGACCTTATTGTGCTGTCTACTTGTATATAGCATCCCTGTCATACACCGCAAACCATTTTCACTGTGTTATCACTTCCTACCGAGAACATCATGCATATGAAAATATGCAAATAATCATTATTATTACGCATGTCTCCAACGAATGTCGGGCGGTGGGGTAGCCTAGCGGTTAAAGCGTTGGCTCGTCACGCCGAAGGCCCGGGTTCGATTCCCCACATGGGCACAATGCCCATTTCTGGTGTCCCCCGCCGTGATATTGCTGGAATATTGCTAAAAGCGGCGTAAAACTAAACTCAGTCAGTCAGTCCAACGAATGTCCTTTGTTTGCAAGGTACATGGGAGTTGTCATTCGTTACAAATCGGCTTTTTCCGTAAGTGCATGAGGACATTCAACGTGTCCCGGAATGACATGACCTGGTCACGGAAGTCTCGGAGCAAGGGTTCAGACTGAATCGCGCCAAATCGTGAGAGGATTAATAAAAACAAGTCATTACTGTTACAGGTGACACGTGAGCGTCAAAACAACCTAGAAACACCCACGGCGTTAAACAACACACTGACATAGTCATTTCCAGTTCATAATAATTCATTAAATGACGTATGCAGATGTACACGACAGCACTAACATATATATGATCGATGAGGACATTTGTTTCGACACCAAACTACATTTCCGACCTATTGATTGACTCGGGTGGGGGGGGTATCTATTGTCATCCAAGGCGCAAAGATAAACTCGCAGGTTGGCTTCATTCGGCTGCACGTTGACGTTGTCTCCACACACGGTGTCGACAGTGCAACATCAACAATGCACGTTGTGTCCACACACGGTGTCGACAGTGCAACATCAACGGTGTACATTGTAAGTGAAACTGTCCCCATCGGTGGATGTGTTGAATTGGAATTATCGTGGTGGACGTTTGGGAGCCCTAAAGGTATTAGCACGTCCCTCTGGGTATATGTAGGTTCCACTGCGTGTACAAATAATAATACCCACATAATTTAACGGATCCAAAGAATTAGTAGCTGCTAAGTGGCGCTGCTAGGCAAACCAGGAATGATTGATTGAGTGAGTGAATATGGTTTTCCGACGCTTTCTAGCAATATTCGAGGAATATCACGGCTTCACACATTGTACCCATGTTGGGAATCGAACCCTGATCTTCGGCGTGGCAAGCGGACACTATAACCATTTGGCTATCCCACCGCCCCTGACACCAGTATTGAAATCTGCATATTATGAAAAGTATATAATGAAACAGTGATAACTGACGTGGAGAGAAGAAGTACATGGTGTTTGAATTATTCACGGATTGCATTGAACAATTACAAGCTCCCGACAATATATCAGTTCTGTTACAAATTTGAATGTAATGCTGAAAAAGGTTCCTTGGGTTATACTCCTATCATTAAGAGGAGCCTGTAGGAACAGTGTCATCAATCAATGGATCAGGTACACCAAACTACGTTATAACGAACTCACGGATATAACGAACTGACTCTATGTGCTAACACTGACAGTATTCTTCAGTCGAAATCCTTATATAACGAACGTACTAATATTTGTGGTCCATTTGTTCCTTATAACCGATAGGGGCGGTGGGGTAGCCTAGTGGATAAAGCGTTGGCTCGTCACGCCGAAGACCCGGGTTCGAATCCCCACATGGGATAGCCCATTTCTGGTGTCCCCGCCGTGATATTGCTGGAAAATTGCTAAAAGCAGCGTAAAACCAAACAGTCAGTGAGTCAGTTATAACCGAAGTTAACTGTTGTAGCTTTTATGTCGGAAGACGGACATGGTTGTTTCAGTTAATGAATCAACAGAAGAGAGTGAATGCTATTGTAGACGCACCCAGCAACCATCCAGATGTGTATCACGGGGGCCTGTGAATGTTCAAGTCTGGACCAGGCAAACCATAGCCAAGAGCTGTAATTGAGAAACAAAGGACATTCTCTCACGAGTGAGTGAATGAGTGTTTGAGTATGGTTTTACGTCGCCTGTAGCAACATTCGAGCAATAACTGTTAGCATTAGGGGAATCGAACATAGGTCTTCAGCGTGACGAGCTGACACTTTAACCATTATGCCATCTCACGAAGCAGAACGTAAGCTTTTTATCCTTTTGATTATTTCAATCGTAAATTTAATAAATTTCCTTGTTTTAGATAACAGCATACAAAAAACATATTATCTGTACCCATCGACCAAAAATGTTTTACATATCCATTTTCATGACGTTTCTGTCTGTTGGAAAATATTTCAACAATTGAACAGGTTTATCGTTGAGCATTCTGCTTATGTTATATGTATATGATGAGTTTTCCGAATGATACATTCTCAAGCAGTTTTGGTACTGTTAAACATTCCAAGAAAGTGTCACCCTTTCAGAGTCAGTACCATCCCTCGTGTACATTAACACAGTTCACCAAACCAAGCTGGGGAGTATGCATATGTGGGTTAGTATTCAGTCTGTGTCTTTGCTCTTATACATTTATTGATTTATTGCTAATATGACACATATGTTTAGCCAAAGCAAATATTATCAATGTTTTGGTTTAGTTTTGTTGTTCTTTGTTTAGTTTTACGCCGCACACAGCAATGTTCCAACTATATGGCGGCGGTCGGTGAATAATCGAGTCTGGACCAGACAATCCAGTGATCAACAGCATAAACATCGATCTGCGCAATTGGGAACCGATGACATGTGTCAACCAAGTCAGCGAAACTGACCACCCGATCCCGTTAGTCGCCTCTTACGACAAGCATAGTCGCCTTTTGTGGCATGCATGGGTTCGAAAGCTTTCGAAGTGTCGAACGGCAGAAACATATGTACGAAACGTAAGCGTATCAGAAGACGGAACAGATGTATTGGAATGTAATGGAAGAGGACAATGCCCTATCAGGTGGAAGCAGTGCCCTGGTTTTATGTCCTTTGTTCTCTAGGTCGTCTGGACCACTATGAATGAGTCAGTCTGTTAGTGCGTGAGTGAGACCGTGAGTGAGTGAGGAAGTGAGTGAGTTTTAGTAATATTGAAGCAACGTATGAAGCTGGGGGCACCAGAAATGAGCTTCACCCACTGTACTCATGTAGGAAATCAAACCTGGGTCTTACGGTGACGAGCCAACACTTGAACCAGTAGGCTATACCACTGCCTCGTCAAAACGACTGATTTATGGATTCAAACTGATGGAGTGAGTGAGTGAGTTATTGTTTAACGTCACATCGGCAATATTGCAGCTATATCGTGACGATCAAACTGATGGAAGTCATCAAATCAAAATTGCATAGATCGATGCTTCGATCCATCAGTCACTGAACTGTCTGGTCCAGACTTGAATATTTACAGATTGCTGTCATATAGCTGGAATAATGCTGAGTGCAGCCTTGAACAACAAACAAAAGCTGAATACAGGCAACCAACATGTTAGGAATTGACAAATATACTATTCACACTTTGTTAAGGATCACAACAGTTTACAACTTTACTTAAACATAGATTCGTAATTTTAAATTGTATCCATTCAAAACTGGATAAATAATAATAGGGTAACCCCTCTTTAGGCAAACAGTCACCTTAACCTTATGCACTTGATACATGAATAACCATAAAAATGGTTTTCCTGGCACCAATCAACCATTTTGCAAACCATGGAATGAGTCTGACAAGTACACAACACCTGTCAAAAGCAGGTATGGGATCCACAAGATGAAATGACATACTGAAACCAAGGATCCATGCTTACAATAAGCTTAGATATTTAAACCAAATTTGATCCCACATCATAATTTTCTGTTGAATCCATGATTTGATCCTTCGCAAATTGTGAATACTATATTTTCCTGAACCCAAACACAGTTATGACTCAACAATAATAGGGGTGAGGTCAAAAGATGTTTATTTACAAAATGATCATCTTCCTTTGATTGAAGGACATTGTACATGTTACAGACACCCAACAATCACCAACACAGATCATTTCCAGCACTTCAGTTGTCACAGAATTTAAATGTAAATTCTGAAACAAGATGAACAGATGGAACATCTCCAATTCTGGTGACTTTTCTCCTCATTCTGGCACATTTTTATTAATTCTCAATACTTCTTAACAGGCAGATTCTGTTGGATAGAAACAAGTCCAAACCCTCAAACGAAACCTAAGTCTTCTGCATTTGACTAAGCAAGCACCATCCACACCTTGCCTCAATGATTTAAGCTCTTTTGAGGACAAATTTCAAACGTCAAGTCCTTTTGAAGCATGACCTGACACGTTAAGGCCTATTGAGGCCTGACCTCAAAGAAAAAGGACTTTTGTAGGCTGACCTCAAGATTCCGCTTCCTTTGAAGACATGCCTTAAAGGACAAAGTCTTTTGAAGGCAGACCACAAACATCAAGGCTTTTTTAAAGCAAGAAGTATAATGAATTTGTAGGCTGGCCTCAAAAGTCAGGTTCTTTAAAGCTAGGCCATAAATGTCCAGGTGATTCAAGCCTTTGAGAAGCTTGTAAAAGCAGCCTATTGTTGCTCTATTTCCCAGAAGTAGGTTGTATTTTTCCAGAACATTGTCAGATCAGATTTACAAAATATGGTGAGTATGACATTACTTAATTATAGTCCATATTCTACTCACAGACACCCAGACTTGGACTCGACCATTCACAAATGCTAGGCTCAAACTTGTGTCTTTTGTATGAGAAGCATGATACCTCAAAACCCCTTAATGTCCTAAAGTTTTTGAACTTCTAGCAAAAATGAAAACTGATGTCTGTCAAACATAATCAAATCATGAAAATATCCCAAGACCGTTTGTCTCTTCCAATCACTGTGATTTACCTAAATCCCAACAGAAGCATTGATTAGATCACCATTTAATGACCCAATGCTACTGTCTGTTGTAGTATGAAGTATTGTGTGGATGATCTGTACAATGAAATAAATATCAACAATTGTCCAGCATGCACTGCCATCATTTCCTGCCTTTCCTTCGTAACGACTGACCCTCTCCTGAGAAGGCTTCGAAGTTCTTGTCATCCTTGTCCTGGCAAAGAAAGAATTGAGAATTTGGGAGTTCAAACATATCAATGCCAGAGCATAACCATATCTGGTTAAACAAATCTAAAACAGATATATGTAGGCAAAACAGCAGTGAATGGTTCACTGATGACCAATGATGACACCAGGTGTTTGTACAAATGTTAAGAGGTGATGGGAGGTGAGGTGAAATTGGGTTTAACGTCGTGCTTGAGAATATTTCGCTCATATGACGCCGTGCATGCTTGTGTATGTGGATGTATGGCTGCTTGTACTATCCCAGACTGAAGCTGGTTTTATAGTGCTAGCCCACTGAGATACCATGCCACAGTGAAGCATGAATACCCTACTCAGACACATTATACTGACTCCGAGCCGACCAGTCCTCGTTGTACCCATTAATGCCGAGCACCAGGCAGGGACCAACAAGTACCATATTTTAACATCTTTTGGTATGACGTGGTCGGGGATCGAACCTGCGACCTTCCGCTCTCCGGGCGGACGCTCTCACCACTACACCACGGAGGCGGTCAAAAATGTTAAGAAATGTATACAAGATCATCATTGTGGGATTAATCATGTCATTATTCAAGGTCTAAAACCTTATACTGGGTTTGGATAACAAGGTGGCTACCTGTATGACACAGCGATCCTTGTCTTTATTTTAATATTATTATTTTAATAAGTCAATAAAAGTTCAATTCAATGACAAAATCTTGTGAAGAATGAAGAGACTGGTAGATTAGTTGAAATAATATTTAAAATCAAAAGCCAGTACCTACTATACACTGAGATACTTTACTGACAGGTACAGGTCTAGCTGTGTTTAGTGAGTGAGTGAGTTTAGTTTTATGCCACACACAGCAATATTCCAGCTATGACGGCAGTCTGTAAATAAAGTCTGGACCAGACAATCCAGTGATCAACAGCATGAGCATCTATCTATACAACTGGGATACGATGATTGTGTCAACTAAGTCAGCGAGCCTGACCACCCGATCCTGTTAGTTACCTCGTACAACAAGCATAGGTTGCTGAAGATCAAAGCATGGGTTGCTGAAGATCAATTCTAACCTGGATCTTCAAGGGTCCTGTGTTTAGTGGTACACCAAAACTGCTTTGCATGTGTCAACGTCTTCAGGTCAAGTCTTTCCATGTGAGTTACAAAATTAATCAATCAACCTGACAAATATATAACGAAATGTTACGATAACTGCAGGAATGGATTTCCCTGCCACACAGAGGATGGACTTACGTCTGCGCTCCCATTGGCTACTGGCCTGGAGGTTCTGATGAATGTCAAGGTCCCTCGTTTGTAGCTGTAGTTTGGAATACCTCTGAAATATACCACAGATTAAAGGAACACGAAATATTCATTGTCGTCCATGGAAATTTACTATTTAATCTGAATACCTCTAATTCATTCTGAGTAAAGTATTCACCCATATTCTAGGTTTATTTGGGGTCTTGGGACATTGAATATGTGCAGAGTGAAACCTGTGTCTCTAGCATGAAAAGCTTACACTCTTACCCTTTCCGAATTGCTTGATTTAAACAGATCCTTGGTTCAATTGTCAGAGCTGAAAGTTCATAAGAAACTGATTCAAACTAAGGGAGCTAACTCCTGACCTGGTTGGGGCACTGTTTGATGCTACAGCCGAACTGTCTGTTCCTTTCTTCTTTCCATCAAGACGGTTACCTTGGCCACTGAAAGCCTGCATTGATAGAACCAAACATAAACATCATCAGATTGGTAAGGATAAACAAGATCTCCCTCCTGCACATTTCTATTAAATAAATTGACCAATCCCTAAATAATGTGTTTTTCCTCTTTCATATAACATTCAATCATTGCAACTCTATCATGCAAATCTACTCACTCTGAAGGCGCTGTCTACAGCATCTGCACCAGTGTCCATTTCCTGAAAAACAAAGTCAAACATTCAAACACTATTATCCTTAAGAGTCCAGGGCCTTGATGCACAAAGCGTTCGTAATGTTACAACTGGTCTATTGTTTATCAAAGGCTTACCAATGCCGTAGAACAATGAACATTTTGTGGATGTGAGTGAGTGAGTGAGTGAGTGAGTGAGTGAGTGAGTGAGTGAGTGAGTGAGTGAGTGAGTGAGAGTGAGTGAGTGAGTGAGTGAGTGAGTGAGTGAGTGAGTGAGTGAGTGAGTGAGTGAGTGAGTGAGTGAGTGAGTGAGTGAGTGAGTGAGTGAGTGAGTGAGTGAGTGAGTGAGTGAGTGAGTGAGTGAGTGAGTGAGTTGAATGTTTAATCCTGCTTTGGACATGTGCTACAGGATTTCAGGGTGATTGTTAGGTGTTCCCTCGTCATGCCGTAGACCTGGGTTGATTTCCAACATGTGTACAATGGTAAAGCCAGTTTCCGGTGTTCCCTGCTGTGATTTTGCTGGAACATTGCTAAAAAAACGCATAAAACCAAACTCATTCACTCACTCTCTTCTACAGGATTTCTGTTTCACATCAGCTTGCCTTTGGGGGAAAAGGCACAATGACATCAAATTGGAATTTGACAAACAAAATGGCCAAAAGTCAATTTTTGCATAAGGGCCTTAACTCTGCACAGTTACACTTTAAATATATATACGGTTTGTGCTGTCAGTAATTTGTTTCAGGTGTGTCATGCAGAGCTCCACAAGTTTCACGAGGCACTGGAGTTTCAACACACTGCACACTTTCACACAAAAAACATACTCCACCTGACTACAATAGTGACAATGCATCCGATGAACGTGTCTACCCCTGTAACCATGGATACGAAACTCACCTCTCCATCTGTGGCGAGAGATTCCTCCTGCTTCTGGGAGCGTGGTTCCTGGTAACCAACGGGCGGGGCAAAGTCTACCTGTACACAACACACAAGCAGAACTAGGCTACAATAACCACAATATGTTTTAAAGACTATTTTCCTTTTTTTGTAGTGTTCCTGAATTTCATGACATTTTTATATTTAATTCAAACCCATCAGCAGACAGATATGTTAATGGTGCTGACATTTTATTGAAATCATCAACAGGACCATGTGTGGTAATACAATTATTGGCATGCTGAACACTGGAACATAACTAAATTAACTGAATGTGAATTTCCTTAACATACTTTGGGGGAAACTTAACATGTATCTCTTAGTAAACTGATAGAGAACTAAACGTAAATCTCTTTAAACAAATGTTCATGTGACATGAAACTTAATATGACATATCAAAGTAAAAAATCTAACCTAACAGCCCAGCTTCAATATGGCTTGTTGTTGCATTCTAATGCGACAACTGTAGTACTATCTATATGCCCCACCTGAATGAGCTACCAAAATGAAGTTCTATTCTACACCCTATCATGACAATATGTCCTTTAATGTCTTCAGACTACTAACACATACAAGCATCCGGACAATCATTTATTACCATTATTATTATTATCATTATTATTATTATTATTCTTAAGGTATGAAACATGTTGGTGTCGGGACTACCAGAGATGCCAACCCTAATTTAGCCCAATTAGTATTTTGGCCAAAAACTGATGCAACAGTTAGTTTTGGGGCCAAAATTTGTATGAACTTTTCCAAAGAATGTTCATATTTAATAAAATATGTATACATATTCTAAGAACTTTTTATTAACATTGTACTCCACTAAATCCATAGTAAGTATCCACAAATAGCTTGTACTGAATAAAATGTGGATGAAATTTATTGTGTATGCTATTTCATAATTTAATTTAATGTATTTTTAAAACAATTCATAAATTGTTACTGCTATCGTGGTCGCATATTTTGTGTTGTTTTTTTCGTAACAAATATGATAAAATGGTATGGGTTGGCATCTCTGGACTCTCTGCACACCTGTCTGACTCAACGTTCACGTTTATCCTGAAACTACAGGGAATATGACCATTAAGGGACACAGATCCTCTTCACAGAAAGAATAAGAAGACTCCATGACAGGAAAACATCATGTTAACTTAATTTTAAACCATGTGAAATATGCATTATGTCGATGCGGACATAAAATCTCCAAATCATCATCCACTTATTGCCCAATCTGAAAGCATTATCTTAAAACAGTTCAGATGATTGATGTTTGGTCAAAGTTCATTCACTTCAACTTGGTCAGGTCAATCTGTGGAATTGGATATAAGCTGTGGATGGTGTTAATAACCACCCCTTTAGTCAATATTCAAACCACTTTTTTTAGCTCTCTTAGCGCTAAGATGGTCATAAGTGCCATACCCTAACATTGACTTACGACTATCTTTGCGCTAAGATAGTCATAAGTGCCATACCCTAACATTGACTTACGACTATCTTTGCGCTAAGATAGTCATAAGTGCCATACCCTAACATTAACTTACGACTATCTTAGAGCTAAGACAGTCATAAGTGCCATACCCTAACATTAACTTACGACTATCTTATCGCTAAGACAGTCATAAGTGCCATACCCTAACATTAACTTATGACTATCTGAGCGCTAAGACAGTCATAAGTGCCATACCCCAACATTAACTTACGACTATCTTAGAGCTAAGAGAGCTTCAAAATTCTAGGCCCTGGACTACCAGAAGCGTGTACTTACATTCATGTCACATTCAATGATGGACACTGCAGTACCGGGCTTGGTTTCCAGGACACACAACTCATAGATCTGAAATACAGACATCAAGGAATTGTACAGACACAGTTGGCACTATTACAATAGCAGGTGTGTTTGTTATCATTAGGGCTGCAACGATTCACTCAGACCTCGATTTGAATTGATTTTCGATACTGGACCCTCGATTCGATCATTTTTTATTCGATTCTTCATACAAGTAAAAATATCATATTTCATTTAACAGAGTCGTCTTTTTAGGGGGAAATCCATCGTCCGTTGTCAACCAATCACGTTTCGCCTTATTTCAGAGCTCGAAACTGCTTGAGTTGGACTTCTGGCTGTGTGTAAATTGTTTACGTAGGTATTCAAAAATCGAATCGAAACTCGAAACTAAGGTGTCAGATTCAATGAATCGAACCGAATTGTTGCAGCCCTAACAGTCATATAGGACCATTCATAATTTATGGCTTGGGAGTGCGGGTGGGGTAGGGGTGCAGGTAGTTTGGGGGTGTGTGTGATGATGATTTCTACGGAGAACCATGTACAATGTGAATGACCACCATGCATGTAATCAATGATACCCACACAACCATAGTTTTTTTTTACTGAAAGGATTTTTGTAACAGAGCTAATAACAGATCTTCTGATATTGTTCTGATGAGAATATTTTGCTTTTTTGCTGTGAATCTAGAGTGATAGAAGGAAAGACACCACACCACATATCATTCACTATACAGCCCTAATGGCCAGAATATGAAGGACACTTGTCACTCACTTTGTCGTTGTATTTGATGGCGACCACATCTCCTTTCGTTAAACACGCAAAGTTCCTCAGAGCATTTTCAAGTCTGTACATAACAGTTAAGGAGACAAAGCTGGCATCTGTTTATCACATGATTGACATTCACAATCACCATAAGTCTGTGGAATTGGTAAAATTAGTAAATTTGATGGTGATAACCGATTCACTCTCATTAACAATTACCTAGAGTAATAAATCCGCTGTGGTGTATAAATTAACATCCTACAGGACTCAACTCAAGGAACTTAATGTGACATGTAGCTGTTGCATGAACATACAGTTGCCAGATACTAAACCAATTGTATCTGCCCCATATATTTTTCACAGTCGAAACTAGTGTTGGGAATTGGTGTAAATCTCATAATTGATGATTGGTTCATCACAACCGATCAATCATCGAAAATAATTGGTTAGCGTCATTTATCAAATTTTCCTGGTTATGTTTGTTAATGCACAAAAAATAAAGAAAAAACATGTAGTTCTCTCGGGTTTTTTCGCAAATTGCACAAAATGCATTTGCAAATTTCACATCTTTAAAGGATGACTAGTGTGTTAGGAACATACATTTCCTGGAGTTGTTAAGATAAATTTAATCAGGACTTGGAACGAGCTTATAGTGCTTATGCCATGTCGAGACAAAATCAACTTTTTTGAAAAATATTGTTATTGCCAACAAGTGTCCCAAAATTGTTTGTGTTCGATTATGAGAAAACATGATCGATTGTTTGTTCGTTTTGTCATTGCGACCAATCTTCGATTATTTCAATTAATCGGACCACCACTAGCTGAAACACAGGTCGGTCTTTTGCCTTTGTCATATCAATTACTGAAATGCTGCTGTAAAACATAACAGGAACACAAGCTTTAAGTACCATAGTTTCATGTTAATCTTACCGAAGTATGACAAATAACATATCAACAATACAAATGTTCAGATCTCAAAGAGACTGAAAGAATATTGACAACAGTGGGCTATGAACGATAAAAAAGAAAAAATACAAGCCATTTCAAATATTTTCCACTTACGTCTGGGGCGGTGGAGTAGCCTAGTAGTTAAAGCATCCACTCGTCACATCACCACATGGGTACAATGTGTGAAGCCCATTTCTGGAGTGACCCACCGTGATATTAATAATAATAATAATAATGTGTCCATTTATATAGCGCCAAACTCCACACTAGGTATGCTCATAGCGCTAACAATCAAGGCACAGCACATTTTTACCCCGGATAACCCAAGCTGCCTGTTAGGCGCTAGAAGGTTATAGTCATATGACTTTTTTCCACCGGGTACCCATTTTCCTGCTGGGTGAACAGAGACAATTTTGAACGAACTCACTTGCCTAAGGTGAGACCATATGTGTCACATGTGCTTCGTTGTGGGGCAGGACTCAAGTCCTAGAAACTCTCAGAAGTCAAGCTGCCAAACACGGTCACCCATCCAAGGACTCTCCGAGCTTGACGCTGCTTAACTTCACCGATTTGTGACCTGAGCTTTGAGCACAGGACCACGCGCCACCACTATTGCTGGAATATTGCTAATAGCGGTGTAAGGCTAAATTCACTCCCACTTGTGTCTCGATCTTTCACAATACCAGAATTTCACATCAATGTGCACGTTTCACAACTTTATAAGAGTATAGAAGTATTACATGTATCTGGTTGGAAAGGATACACAGCTTTTGGATTGGTGATGTCGAGGAAGTCGACGGACTGAGGCTGGAATTTGGCAAAGGTGGCAACTGAGAGAGAAACATTCTCTATCTGTATCAGCCCACCCTCATCTAACAGAAGGTTTCTCATCATCTGAAAAAGGTAAACAAGTTTCCAATTATCTGAAATATGCAAATAGGATTCTGATAATGCTGCTAAATTAATTGCAAAAATAGACAGTGAATTACTAAAAACACAAAGACCTTGGTTCTGATATCAATAACATCTGTCCTCTGAAGGAAATGGAAATATGTCTGTAGTCATCTGGAATTAAGCGAATCCAGGCATAGCTAAAGGGACATAACTCTGTTCAGAGACAACTCTGCATCCAAGACACAAACTTTGAACAACAAAATCTGAAGATATTTGAGAAAAGAATCATTACTGACAACATGACTGTATATTTTCCCCCTCAGCTTGTTAAAGGCCTGACATATTCTGAAAGTCTGTGAATAAACACTTGGCTGCCGTTGTACAAAACAAGTTAAAGGAGTTACGAGCACTAGACTGCCTTGTACAACGGTACCCTGGTGTTTAGGAAGGTCGTCAACTCAGAGTTTATTGGAGGTATGAGCTCAATGTTTAAAGGTCAGTGTTCCCTACACTTTTGAAATTTAATTGCCTATCCATTCTGCCAAACGTTTGACCTGAAATGAATTCAAGGTTACTCAAGGCTGTTATATTAGCTGACAAATCACTCCATCTTTGAGCGTCACTCACCCAGTATGGGATGTATATCCGGCCCTCGTCTGCCACAAACTCCAGCACGCCACAGTGCGTCTCTCGGCCATGCTTCTTGTTGGTCAGTTTGAACAACATCGGGTACTGAATGTTGAGACGAGCTGCAAACAAACACACACACTGACACTGCAGCACAAGATGATTCAGGATTGCAGATAATCTTGAAGCCATTGAGTATTCATTCACATAAGATCATGGTTAGCATTCATACGTGGTACTTGATGGTTGTCCTTGGTCTGTCAATACATTGTTTCTCCCCTTTGTACTGTCTATTGAGTTTTGTACACCAATGAGGTCTACTCAAAATACTTTTGGGAAAACATTAAATTAGTTTTACTTGATTTGTTGCCTAAAAGTGTGAATCCAGGTCTCAATTTCACAAAATGAAACCTATTTGCACCTGATGAAACCTTAGGGGCCATTCATAAATTATGGCTCAGATGGGGGAGTGATGATGATTTTAAGGGGAAGGGGTTCAGCAATTATGTTCTGGGGAGGTAGGGGGTCATCAATTTTGTACACATATATTGGGGCTGGGGGTGGTCAACAATTTTGTACATAAAGATATTTAAAATTTATCCTTAAAAATTATTGGAAGGGGTGGGGTGGGGTGGGTGCATTGATTTTGTACATGTTATTATATGCAGGTGTGTGTGTGTGTGTGTGTGTGTGTGTGTGTACTGTCACATACGTCGTACGTAAATTTTAACGGGGTCATTCACATTGCACATGCTTCTGCATAAAAATCATCATCACCCCCATGCCGTAAATTAGGAATGGTCCCTTAGGTAAGATTTTGCATATTTTCCGTGATCATCCATCTGATATGGATGTCAGATGTTTCATTGTTTTACTATTCTATTTTCATCGAAGCCAAAGTAAGTCTATTGTCTATCATGTTCACTCACAAAACATTCTAATTGTGTACTGTTGTGTATTTGAATCCTATACACTTCTAAGGCCGTGGCCAAACAGAACACAATAAACCATGTTGAGAGTTTACTCAGGAAGTGGGGTTTACAAACAGGGGTCCCCAGAGGATGCAAATATAATCAGCTTGACGCTACCGTCACACAAGGCTGCAGGAGTTGTCTCCCATATAAGTATCTACCATACATGTCCATACACTGCATGTACATGATCATGCATAACAACAGACATTGTCACAAATGTAAGTGTACATGTATTCTTGCTGGCTGGCATTCAAGGTTCAAGAAAAAAAATTTCAAATGCTATTCCTCTCTGCGTTTTAATATATGACAATATCTGTTTGAATTGTCTTCAATGTTGTTTGATGCTACAGACAGCTATTCTAGCTATATGATGGCTGTTTATAAAGACAGGCAAGTGATTGACATCATGAGCACTGATTCATGCATTTGGGATACTATGACGTGCATCAACCAAGTCACAGAGTCTGACCACCTGATACAGCCACCAGTACAGGCAGCTGGAAAATGGCATTGATTGTCGTCACACATCTGACTTCCAAATATGATCTGGGAGCAAGTCTTTATAAATCAAATTCAATGAAGTTGTAATATCAATGCTAAATTAACAATTCACTGCCACAGGAATGTGTAGACATTATTGCTCATAACCAAACATTCTGCAGCTCATTTCAGACTTAAAATTATTTTGTTTGTTTTTTTGTTGTTTATGGCCTATTCAGCAATATTCCAGCAATATGACAGTTATGGTTATGGGTGAGTGAGTGAGTTAAAATTTTACATCGCACCGGCAATTTTACAGCCATATAGCTATGAAAACAAGGCAATCATTTAAAAATATCTGTCAACAAAGGACAGCTAAAATAGATGGGTATATCACAATTGTAAAATAAAACCAACCTGGCCATAATTAAAATAAGAAGACAGTAGATTCAATAGATTCATTGTTACCAATTAAAAGCAGGTTATAAACCACTAACAACCAAAGTTTTACCACCTTACTGGGGATCAAGGGGACTTACAGTGCTTTTTGGCTTCCTACATGATTTGCCCAGCAGGATAACCAGATAAAGGGAGAAACCTGCTTGTTTGTCAAGATTTTTTCTAGTCTCACCATGTTTAGGGCATCATCCAGGATCAAGAAGTTTGTATTAACATATAATATTCAAATTCTCAATTCATTATTTTTATACTGCTAGGAAAGTTAGTTTTACAGTTAATAATATTCTAGTATTCTATTTGTGAAGTATCATTTGACAATCGTTCACCTGACCTTTTTCTGATACTTCTTCCCTTGATAATTTGTAGATATTGACACCATTAGAAAAGATGGGTTTTTTGTCTGACCAATTCAGTGGACAGTCTGGACATCACTACAGAACAAACTCACAATGCACAAAGCAGTTGAATATACTCACTGAGCTGATCGAGAGCTGAAGGTGGCATTATAACTGAAAACACAACAGACAAGATTAAATCCATGTCATATGAATCAAGACAATCTTACCTATATAAACCTCTACGGTATTCATGAGTACGGCTGATGCATATTGTAACACAGTTGCAGAGACATTAGTATTGAAAGTCATAAATTTTAAAATTGAAATTTCAAAAAGTGTTAGAATAAAAATCCTGTTGTGATAATTGATAACAATAATATATTTTGTTTGTTTCTTCTCTTAATAAACCGAACTGTTTGTAAATGTCAGAAACTCACTTTTGCCTCCCCTTTCCACATCCTCTCTGTCTCCCAGCATCGTGACGGAGTAGCATCGGTAGGTGGTCTGGAATGGGCGACCCACCTCCGGAAACATATGTCCAAAACCAAACTGATGATGAAATGAATATTGAATAACTAAAATTGATGCTCAGTATATTGGTAAACTGTACATCTTACATTTTATAATACAGTTAGTTATTTATATTGCGCCGGGTTGCCAGGCCATGAAGGTCTGCTTAAAGGGCGATTTAGAAGAAAACACCTCTGAAACTGTGAAAGTGAAGCACAGTATTCAATAGCATGATGCTAGAAAACCTTTGTCATGTCTGTCTTTGTCTGTCATGATCACAATCTACCTTTGCCTTTCATGTCCACAGTCTAAATTTGTCTACCATGTCCACACACTACCTTTATCAAATCCACAATCTACACCTGTTAACTCCACAGTCTTACTTACCTGTGTCAGTTACATAGTATACACGTGTCTGTCATGTACATAGTCTACCTCTGCCTGTAAGGTCCACAGTCAAAATTTATGTGCTATGTCCATAGTCTGCTTTGATTAGTCCATACGCAACCTTTGTCAAGTCCAATGTATACATTCGTCTGTCATGTCCAGTCTTCCTTTGATTGGTGGCCCAAAGATATTGACACCCAACTTTGTCCATGTATGTTCCAAGATAGGTTATGAAATAATTGTGTAACAAAAAACCCAGTAAATATCATAAAGATCTTGTGTAAACACTGAAATCTAAAATCATCATGCTTAGAGTGTGTTTACAGTTACAAAGTGACATAGGTGTCATAAATAGAAAGAAGACATAAAGGACATTAGAAACTTTTACTTGTTCTATGTTTGTGACATGAACAAGACTGGTGGCAGCACATTTCACAATATGTTTAACCTACTGTGCAACGTCTGAAATCATTTCTCAAGAAAGTCAGTTAGTTATTTTCCTAGATCTATCACATAAGCTAGAACCCCGGCTTTAAACATCTGTGTGTATACACTTTAGCGAATGACGACCAGTTAGTGACACGTACCATTTTCCAATCCGTGATAGAACTATTACTCGTTATATTAAGACGTGAATCACATATGCAATGACACTGCTTAACAGCTGAACAGGAAGTAAACAGTACGCACGCACAATCCCGGCGATATGTTTGTTTACTTCCGGTTCAACACTCACATATGGAAGCGAGCCCCTGATTGGGCAGATTCTCTGTTAACTTTTTATATGTTTTGCTTCAAATTACAATTATCCACTTTCACATCTGTCAAATGTAACTCATATCAGTCATGTTTACATTTTTCTTACATAATGTTGATACGAGAAAACGCCCACAAAGGTATATAATCTGTGGAATATAAAGTATTCTGTTTTAGTACTGCTAATCTTCAACCAATCGTTAGCTTTGTGTCATATACGCATTGGTCGTGTCAGCCCAGGGAACCGCGCCAAAATCGAATAACACGGACGAAAACATTGCGAAGATTTTGTTCTGATCATAATGTTTGTCAAGGATTTTAAGAAGAATTTCTATGACGCTATACAAAATCAGGTACACTACACTAATGAAATACAAAAACAGCATCGTATCAAATTCATACGAAAACATAAACAAATGTAAAGAAGGGCGAACGTGTTTACAATTTCATGAAGATAAAGTTATGCTTTTAGAAGCAGCTACCTCAATGTGATCTTTAAAAAAAAGCACATGTCGCATATAAATTTGAGAGTAAACTTAATTAATTGTAAACACATCTTGACCTGCGTCTACTTACATACCCAGGGTTTGATTAGAATGAGAGGTAACTAGCAAACATTTGAGTATTTGCTAATGTTCTGAGACAGTCTATGCAATAATGCAGATTAACAGGCGATGGTGAGGAAAGGGTTACTACGTTCCCCCGCTTATTTTATAAGGTACTTTTCATTACTTGTATATCTTGGTATTGGTTGAAAAAATTAGGTGGGGGTACGTAAGGAACTCTTACCCAAAGTGATATTTCATGAACTGGTCCAATTGCCCAATGAGGCATGCTTTTACACGCTTGTAAAATCCTCAGGCTTAGTCTTGTTGGATTTAGTATATGTCTATCTTTATCACTTTCCTATCAATCAATCATTATGCCTGGGTACAACTTTCTCCTACTTTCTGGTTCAACGGGGCGGAGGGGTAGCCTAGTGGTTAAGGCTTTCGCCCGTCACGCCGAAGACCCTGGTTCGATTCCCCACATGGGCACAATGTGTGAAGCCCATTTCTGGTGTCCCCCGTCGTGATATTTCTGGAATATTGCTAAAAGCGGCGTAAAAACTAAAATCACTCTCACTCATTCTAACTAAGCACCTCTTCATGACACTCTGGCCTGGACACCATCAACCAATCAAACAACCCTTTATGGATTACACCTTCTTAGTACTCGATGCATATGTAATGCTTGTCTACTGTTTCATCAAATTATATTCATATGCCATCTTGTATGCTTCACTGAAATGAATAAAAAAAATTAAAAAATAACATGGTATGCGAGGACCATGACCTGCCGAAGAGTGACATTGATGATGCAGCTGATGTTTATGATGTGGAAAAGTGACTATCACTTTAAGGAACTTGAAGGTGCTCTCACTCTTTGAAATTAAAGAGCTGTCTTCAGAATAAATAAAATGATGAGTTTTCAAAAAAGCTCTTTGAACTTACAATTTTGACTCTTACAAAATCCGGAAACGATATGATTTAAAGGTATGAAATAACACAACTTGATATTAATTCAATCTTTTTCATCATGTTAGCACTATTTTACCTCCCTTTTTTCATTTCAAAACTATTTGATGAACTTTACTCACGATTAGAGCTTGGAATTGACATTTATTTATTGTTTTGGAGCTTTTGGGAGTCATTTTCTAAATTTGTGAGTCACTAAAACAGCATTTTTTGGGACATGTGGGACACAGAAATTTGATGAAGTACCTCTAAAATCCTAACTAAAATCCTGTGGCGTCCTTGTGGACGGATATAATTGTTTTCTGGGAACGAACTTTCTGAGTTTGTAATGATATCCCATATTAAAATATATACATTCTGTTTACAATCATTATTCTAATGACATTGAAAGTAAGACGTATTATAGCATAATCATTATCAAGTCCATAACGCCTGAATGCCCACATAGCCTAATGAACTTTTCCTACCTAGTTGAATAATTTTAGGCCATATGTGCTGACACCAGTCATTGTATACGGTAATGATAAAAACTGTAAAATTCTTTCTTCTGTTTCAGCGAGTTCTAGTACTGGTGTCTTTCGATGTGGATGCATTATGTGCGTGCAAGATTTTGCAGGTTGGCAGATATGTCTTATTCTGTAATTTTGTTTCTTTTCTTTCTTCTTTATTTGAATTCTGGGGCAGTGGGGTAGCCTAGTGGTTAAAGTGTTGGCTCGTCACGCAGAAGATCAAGGTTCGAATCCCCACATGGTTACATTGTGTGAAGCCCATTTCTGGTGTCCCCCCGCCGTGGTGTTGCTGGAATATTGCTAAAGCGGCGTAAAACCAAACTCAGTCAGTCAGTCAGTATTTGAATTCTCTTTACATTTACTTCTGACGTGGGTTAGGAGACTGGCCTCATGTCTGGAGAAATGTCAGCAACAAACTGACATAGCAATATAATGCCCCTTAAGATGGGAAAAGAAGTTCTGATTCCACCTTTTTTTGATGTATGATCAAAGTGAAATAGATCACATAGTCTACACAAATGTTTGTTTGGGTCAGTTTGAGAGTACACTGTTATCCCAGTCTATGGTTACGTGTTGTGTTTCAGTATCACTATACACCATTGTTATAGTCAGCGGATGCTTGTTGCTATGGTTACATGTTTTGTTTCAGTATCTGTTCCAGTGCGACCAGGTCCTATACACCATTGTCCCGGTCAGTGGCCTGGAAGACCTGGAGCGGGCCTTCGTAGAGAATTCAGAAGGCGTGAGTTCTCATATATGTTAAATGGATGTATAGACAAATTGGAGGGTAGACGCCACAATTATGATTCAGACCTGGAGCGGGCCTTCGTAGAGAATTCAGAAGGCGTGAGTTCTCATATATGTTAAATGGATGTATAGACAAATTGGAGGGTAGACGCCACAATTATGATTCAGACCTGGAGCAGGCCTTCGTAGAGAATTCAGAAGGCGTGAGTTCTCATATATGTTAAATGGATGTGTAGACAAATTGGAGGGTAGACGCCACAATTATGATTCAACAAGCCTACACACATGTGGATGAGAAGGTGACCCAGTCAGGAAGGATCTTTCTGTGCAGAGTTGTCTCCCTTCTTCATGTGAGCGTATGCTGATCATGAGTTTTAAGGCCGGGGTGCAAACCTCCAAAAAACCTGTGGGTTTCTAGTTAGTCTCCTGTTGGCAACTCTTCAGCAGTGTAGATGTTTTCTGACAGGATTCCTAAGCTATGGGTGCCTGGCAAGAGCCTGGCGATGTCAAAAGTTAACCTTGGAATTTACTACTAGAATAAACATGTGTCTTATAGTAAATGTCCCAACAACTCTTTCACTACATGTTTTGATGACTAAAGAGATTAATTTGATTAACATATATGAAATTCCAAATTTTACTTATGTTCTGAAAATAAAATCTTCAACATGGTGGTGTCAGCATCAAATAAATGTACATCCCTAACCCTGCACAGCATGGGGTCAGGGGAGTGGGGAGGGAGTCATTTTCACATCCTGCCTGAAATATGAAACCCTGAATGAAACTTTTAGCCAACTCACAGGCTTGTTTCTATGGAAACGCACCTAATCTGGGCACCTGACTGATACAGTCGGAACTTCAAATCTGTGTTTGAAAAAGAGAAATATGTTTTCAAAGTGTATGTTTTGTAGGCTGTCTGCATACATACATGTTACAGTGAACCTTCACAACATACTTCTTTACAATGTGGCTTAATTTCATCATGAACCGGTTAGTCAATTTTGTGATATTTCATGGAATGTACTAGAATAGTGCATGGATTTGCATCAAAAGACAGCTTTAACAAGGCAAGGAGGTCGCACCCCATATGTGTATAGGTTTGAACCCCGGCCTTTAAACCTCTGGTAGTGGGTCAGCATCTCACCTGTAAAGATTGGTTTAGATTTTTCTTCCAGTCTTTCTTCCCGTATTCTCACTGCCCACCCACTGATATTACATATTCGACTAAATGACAAATGGTAAAAACTGTAGGTGAAATTTGGTCAGTATTTGGCCTATGATTACACAATGCAATGTAGTATGTGGTCAAATGTAACATTCTGCAAAATGGAAGTCGGACAACTGGTAGTCTAGACTGTGGACTTTGTGTACTGATAAGTGTAAATTGACACCGCTCCCACGGCTAGGTGTCTGACTTTGTGTTCTGGTGATTTGGTACTTTACTAAGAAAGTCTAATCCAAAATATAACAAACGTAATATTTGACCACTTTCTAAATGGCATTGTGTATTTCATTTCTAAATGGCATTGTGTAATCATAGCTTATCAGAGGGGTACACAAATTATTGCCTGTGTTGAAATGATATACCAGCATTCATGATGCTCTGTAAACATAGCTTATCAGAGGGGTACACAAATTATTGCCTGTGTTGAAACGATATACCAGCATTCATGATGCTCTGCAAACATAGCTTATCAGAGGGGTACACAAATTATTGCCTGTGTTGAAACGATATACTAGCATTCATGATGCTCTGCAACAATGTGCACCAGGAAACAAAATGGCATCTTTAATAAGACATGATAATATTTCTCACGCTACTGTCGGTGTTTCCAGATCAAGCATGTTGTGATGATCAACTGCGGTGCCACTGTGGATGTTGTTGAGATGTTGCAGCCACCGGAGCACGTCCGCTTCTACATCAGTGACAGGTACACTTCCTCTCCAGCATTTTCCCTGTAGGAAAATGTTTGTAACTTTGTTTGTTGGTGTACGCCGCACTCAGTGATATTCCAGCAGTCTATAAATAATCAAGCCACTAAAAACTCAAACAATGGCTCAGCTATTATATAGAATGCACATTTTTTTAAATATAATAGTGTAGTGGTAGAATTTTGTAAAATCTTTATTTCTTCACCAATTTCGTTCAAATTTGAAATATATGTAAATCATAACATATAAACACAATATATGATTACAAAAATCTAGATTTTTATTTTTTTAAATTATTGTCCAAATAGTGATTCGAACCCATGTTTTAATATCCCATGCTTTGACATGACTGAAATATGCTGCTCAGAATTAGTGAAGGACCACCTAGTTCTTTCATATAACATAAGGTAATCAGCCATGGTGCAGAAATTGAAATATACCTCAAAAGACCACTAATTCTTTCATATTACTAATCTATCATGCAGTAACAGATTAACTTTAGTGATAGGAAAGAATTTGCGATGACACAGTAATATGAAGGAATCATGTGGACCTTAACTTTAGTTGAGTAGTATGATTCATGACCTGAATATGATATGTTCTTTTGCTTGCAGTCACCGTCCGGTAGACATCCACAACGTGTTCAACGCTGTGCAGGTCAAGTTGTTGATGAAGGAGGAGGAGTTGACGGAGCTGCCAGAGTACGATGAAGTCTTCAGGGACGATAGTGTAAGTCAGAAACACGTCTTGTCGCACATCACTTCGGTTTGAGTCAAGTTGTAAGTCAGAAAAGCATATGGCGGGGTAATTTTTTGTTGCTGTGGTTTCATTACATACATGATACACACATCTAAAGAAACAATGTCATGAAAAGTTTGACACTATCATCATCCAGATCATTGGTACATATCTCCTCGACTGTCTCAGTTTGTTTGGAGCTTGGCCAACCGCTTTCAACCAGCCAACTGTCTCCCCACAGTTCATTGACGACGGAGCTGGCTACAACAGCGTCGCCGGGTGACGTTCATCATAAATCAACACTTCAGGTTTCTTTACCTAATCGCCGATCCAGATCACCACATCATTCTAGATCACCACAACGATCTAGATCACCATCACAAGCCCAATCTAGATCAACGTGCCGATCAAGATCACAGGAACGATCCAGATCACAGTCACGATCCGGAGCACAACCATGATCCACATCACATGATCAATCCAGATCACCTAACCGATCCAGATCACCAAACGGGTCCAGATCACAACTTCGAATCAGATCACCGGACATATCCAGATCACCGGACATATCCAGATCACCTAGCCGATCCACATCACAACATCGAAGTAGATCATCGGACCGATCCAGATCACCTGATCGATCCAGATCACAACCTCGAATCAGATCACCGGACTGATCCAAGTTACCTAACCGATCCGGATCACAACATCGAAGTAGATCGCCAGACTGATCCAGATCACCGAACCAGATCACCTGTTCGATCCAGATCACCTTATAGATCCAGATCACGATCACAGTTTCCAGTTAGTGCTTCAAATCGATCCCGATCACTTTACAAATCTTACCAACCAAGGTCACCTATACGATCTAGATCATCTTACAGAGTCATTGACCAATCGGGATCACAGTACAGATCCACATAGGATAGTCGAACCAGAGCTCCAATAAGAACCAGATCACCAACTAGAACTACAGCAACCCGGACTAGTTCTTCATATCATACCGGATCACCTAGCCATACTAGGGAATCCAGATCACCGGCTTACCAACCTACTTCGGTACTTACCACGTCAAGATCTTAATACAGTTCCTCTGACCGACGTTCGGGTGATCATTGCTCTGATACCACTAATAGGCCTACAGTCTCTTATGATGTTCCGTCTACACGCTCTGAGAATCCTTTGATTCACTCTAGGATCATCGCTGAGTCATGGGAACCTGATAACATACCCACTCCTACAGCGATCCCCGATATAAATATGATGATCAGGGCCATAACCTCAGCCTGGAACCAAATACAGCCGTCTACTCCAGCCCATCCGGCTTCGGTAGCTCCTGGCTCTTCATCTGGTCCACCTCCTGAGATTGATCCAGTCCAAATAGCCATGCCTGCATCTCCCGCTCACTCTGAGTTATCTACCCCTTGGGGTAGCTTTGCAGCAGTTGAGACACCTCAGGTACTCTTTTGAATTGTTGAGAAGCTCCAACTTCCCTTGAGTACTTCAGCAGATGACCTGGATCACTCTTATACTCTTAGGAACTGAGGATGCGACCCATTCAGCAAGCTTTGGCTGGAATGTGGGTTCACTCCCAGGGTTACGAGTTGATTCTCCACACTCCGGGATGGCTGAATCCTCATTTGCGGTGGTGGACAATGGCAGTGAATTTATCCAGGGGGATCCCCTTGGACATCCCTTCGCCAGATATCTTGATTCAAACAGACGCCTCCCTCACAGGGTGGGGTGTGTGTGCTGGGCCACCTGTCAGTCTCAGGTCTGTGGTCGCAGAGCGAGGCGCAACTGCACATCAATGTGCTGGAATTGAGGTAGTCCGGATAGTGTTCCAACGCTTATGGGAGCAGGTTCAAAGCCATGTGGTTCGTCCGGAGATGGACAACCAAATGGCAATGACCTATATCCTGAAGCAGGGCGGTACGGTTTCCCCATCTCTCCTGCAGGAGGCGTGGCAGTTTCGGCTCTGGTGCGACCAGTTCGACATACGGGTGATGCCTGTTTATCTCCCCAGGGCGGACAACGTTCGAGCAGACGCACTCTCTTGATGTATCCTGGCCCCACACTAGTAGATGCTGGGTGATTTTGGGGATTATCTCCCAGTTGTTCGGGTCATTCCAGATGGATCTGTTTGCTTTTGGAAGGACCAGATTCTGGTGTTTTGCTCTCGATACCGGATCCCAAAGCCATCGCCTCGGACGCTTTCCAGCTCGATTGGACAGACAGGGTTCTGGTGGCGTTCCCACCGTCAAACGAACGGCTGCTATCAGGAAAGATAAGCAGCTGTTCTGCTGTTATGGCGGTGGTAAGGCTGGTCCTCCGGCGAACAAGCAGACCATATCTAGGTGGCTTGTCTCTGCCATTTGTATGAGTTACACTCACAAAGGTTTAACTATTCCTGATGGGTTAAAGGATCATTCGGTTAGGGCTCTAAGATTGTTTGACGCTATATCCACTGTTTTCCCTCCCTGCACCACGCTTTGCTGGTGTGGGATTATAAGCGGTATATTTAGGACTTACCCATACATTCCTTCCCATTTTGATGGTTGGGGGGTGGGACGTCCGTCATTGTAATTTTGCCAGTAGCATATAAGCTAGGCTCCTTTTAACCCGCCTTGCCACGCCCCCGACTGATTGACATCAGCGGTCACGTGACTTGGTAAGTGTGTTTTTCTCTGTCTCTCAGCTTCGGCTGTGCCTTCGATTGAACTAAGGGAATGATAGCCAGACAGAATACCGCTCCCGATTCACCTTCGTTGGGAGTCTGTCTTATGCTTATATGTACCACAAGGAGGACTTCTTCTGAAAAAGAATTATACAAACCTGTAGAGGTTATGAATTCTTTGAAGAAAGTCCTCCTTGGGGTACGGCCGCCCACCTCCCCTCATTCTGTCTGACACGTTCAGCATGAAAAGTGAGGTACGAGGTAAGCAGCCAGAGTTACCTGCTCTTGGATGTAGGGGGTCCTGTGAGGGGCCCTGTAGGGGTGGTCTCACTAAACAAAACAATTTTTTTGTTTGGTAAAATATTTTATTGAAATATTGTTACAACTGTCGTAGGTATTTTAAATGGACATTTATATGCTTATATGTTCCCCAAGGAGGACTTTCTTGAAAGAATTCATAACCTCTACAGGTTTGTATAAATTTCTGGGAATATGGCTCATCACACAACAGAATCACACGGTCGTCCCAGAGGATCGTTGGGTCAAGATACAACATATGATATCTCAAGCAATGCTCTCTCCGCTGACACTATGTGCTTGGCAAAACATGCTTGGTCTACTCACCTCAGCTCAAGACATGACTCGCAGAGGGAGATTACAGCTCCGCCCACTACAATATTTGTGAACGCCCATCTCATCTCGACAGTTTGGATCCACTGATACTACTGGACAGCCTGAAACCATAACTCCTATGGTGGACTCAGACGTCGAATGTTTGCAGAGGAACCTTTTTGTCAGAGCCGGCTTGCAACACTCATCTCTACGTGGAAGCATCACTACAAGGATGAGGTGCTCACCTCGACAATGAAGTGGCAGCAGGGAAGTGGTCGAGTCAGGATCAGAGTCTGCACATCAACCTGCTGGAGATGAAAGCAGTGATCAATGCTTTACAACACTGTTCCAGCGTACTAAGGAACGCAAGGCTCACGGTCCACACGGACAACTCCACAGTAGCGTTCTACATCAACAAACAAGGATCAACTAGGTCAACAAGTCTGCTAAAACTCAGCTTTCTCCTGTTCAGCATCGTCGACAACCTGAACATCTACATGAAGGTATGTCACATTCCAGGAGCAAAGAATGTCATAGCAGACACCCTATCTCGTCCACTACAATCATCCCTGATGGAATGGATGTTACATCCAGAAGTGTTCCGGATCGTCATACAGCTAGACCTGTTTGCAACAAAGTTCAACAAACAACTACCAACTTTCGTCTCACCGATTCCGGATCCTCAGGCATGGGCAACAAATGCTTTAAGCATCTCCTGGGAAGGACGAAATGCGTGTCCACCTCCAGCACTATTACCACAAGTAATACAGAAAGTCAAGCAGACGACAACGCTGCAACTGATTTGGGTCGCACCCTATTGGCCAGCGAGGGTATGGTTTCCCCCGTCATAGTACAAGAACTCTGAAGTCCAACACTGAAACTACCAGAGCGGTCGAACCTGCTCATCGATCCACACACCAAGCAAGCTCACACTAATCCGGCATTGTTCCAGCTACATGCGTGGAGCATATCAAAGCTCACCTAAAGACAAGAGGGTACTCCTCCAGAGCAGCGAAAGCAGTGACACTAGCTCTACCTCAGATCAACTCGCAACTTGTACAACGACAAGTGGTAGAGATTTGAACAGTATGCAACGAGGAAAGGCTTTACAAAGGCTCTGAGAAAAATCTCACGCTTTTATCATGTGACTTGTGAAAATCAACGCTCTGGAGAGCAAATGGTTTAAGTCCATGCACACGTCAAGGACAGACTAGCATGAGTGATAGACCCTGTACTTGTATAGGACTTACTTGTAGATGAAGAAGGGTCGCATCTCCACTTGATGCACGCCATCAAGAGATGGAGTTGCAATAGATAACTAATGGAACATTAGTATATCTAAATTCCACACGGAAATGTCAGGAGAAGTTTCAATAGAAATCTGACAAGTTGTGGTTTATAGGGTGCTGTATAGGGACCCAGGTGCTCTCACAACCATCCTCAAGGGCGAAGAAGGAGAGAGTGACAAACATAGCTGGTCATGTGACCAAAAAGGGTGCCAAAGGAGGCAAGGGAGACTACTCGTGGGTGAGTGAATATTTTACGTCCGCTTTTTAGAAGGGAACTTCAAGTGATTTCAAGTGTTCCACTATCATTCGTAAGAAGAAGGAGACAAGCATTTAGCATGAGTCAGGATAAGTATCAAATATCAATTTTAGTCAGAAAACAAATTTTTGGGATACAGAGGTAAGTAAAAGCAAGTTGTAGACTTTAATACAACCGATGACTGGTGTTGTTTCAGTCAGACGAGGACTCTGGTAATGAGAGTGACAGTTCTGACAGATCGGGGAAAAAACGGAGGTTTGACGAGGCAGCCATAGACAGACGGAGAGAAAAGAGATTGTGGAACGAAAATAGGTGAGGTGAAAGTCAATAAGGTTGTATCTTCAATCATATCCGATAATTCAACCCTCAATTCCATGTTTCAACCCTCCAATGATTCTGTATTATAATTGGCCAAGAAACTTCTGCTTGTGATGTGACTATTAATAACTTCCAAGCTGCCATCGTTGAGCTGGTGACCCGTGAAGATCCGGGTTAGAACTGGTCTTCAGCAACCCATGCTTTGTCATATCAGATGACTAGTGTGGTCAGGCTCTCTGACTTGGTTGACCGAAGTCAACGTATCCCAATCACATAGATCGATGCTCATGCTTTTGATCATTGGATAGTCTGGTCCAGATTGTGTTATTTTCAGACCGCTGCAATACAGCTGGAATATTGCTGAGTGTGCCATTAAACAAAACAAAACAAAAAGAAAACATGTTCAGCTGGAATAGTGGTGAATGCAGAATGAAAACTGGTGGGGTTTCTGGGGCAGAAGTGACCTCATGTCCTCTTGAGTGTCAGAAACTCTGATCTGGAAACACAATACCAGTTTGCATGACTTGTCTGTTACACAATGAGACCCGTGAAGATCCGGGGTAGAATAGGTCTTCAGCAACTCATGCATGCCACAAAGGCGACTATGCTTGTCGTAAGAGGCGGGATCGAGTGGTCAGGCTCGCTGACTTGGTTGACACATGTCATCGCGCAGATCGATGCTCATGCTGCTGATCTCTGGATTGACTGGTCCAGACTCGATGATTTACAGACTGCCTCCCTATAGCTGGAATACTGCTGAGTGCGGCATAAAACTAACCTCACTCACTCACTTACTGTTACACAATGAAATTTGTTTGGTTTCATTTGTAAACAAAAAATGAATAAACATTATTGTTTTATGATCCGTGAAGCATTTGGTACTTTCAGTGTAGAATTCAGTGAAGTCATTTTGAATGTGAGTTAAACCCCATATTTACCCTCATCACTCTACACACAGCGAAATGTTTCATTCTAAAGGAATTCAAAGCAGTCTTCTGTTTCCTCTTAGCGTATTAAATGCTTGATCTGACAACTGTCTAATTGGAGGTCCATTTCAAAGTCACCAAGAGAAATTGTGCACAATTTTGCCGTAAAACTTGGAGGTCGGGAATTCTTTCAGAAATGTGTGTGTTCTATCTAGTGTTGGGAATTGGTTAAAATCTCATAATTGATGATTGGTTCATTACAACCAATCAATCATCGAAAATAATTGGTTAGCGTCATTTATGAAATGTGTTAATGCACAAAACATGAAGGGAAAAACCATGTAGTTCTTTGGGGGTTTTTTTTGGCAAAATTTCACATCTTTAAAGGATGACTAGTATGCAGGAACATAAATTTCTTAGAGTCTTTAAGATAAATTCAATCATGACTTGGAACGAGCTTGTAGTGCTTATGAAATGTAACAGACAAAACCAACCTAGTGAAAAATACTGTTAATGAAAACAAGAGTTCTAGAATTGTTTGTGTTCGATTATGAGAAAACATGATCGATTGCTTGGACGTTTAGTCACTGCGACCAATCTTCGATTATTTCAATTAATCGGACCACCACTAGTTCTATCACAGCAGAACAGAGATGAAATACCCTTGTCGGTTCTCATACTATCAACCACTGGTTTACTCGATCACCTTGGAAACAGCCATTACTTGATGTGATGGATACAAGTCAGACCCTAGAAGCAGTCTTGATAATCGGTGTCTGGTGTTTCTCTTGCAGGAACAAGGTCATATTTGACTACACAAAGTTCACATCATATGGAACTTCAGTAAGTATAGAACTCCGTCTTCTTTGGGCCAAAGTTTAGTGGATAGCTGAGTAGTTAAGACGGTCTCTCATCACCTAAAGCCCAGGTTCAAATCCCCACATAGGTACACTGTGTAAAGCTGGAACATTGCTGAAGGGAGGATGGATATGTATTATGTTGCTTTTAGTGCAGAACATAATGCAGCATAGTTTTAAAGCAACAAATCAAAGAAGGTTTATTTGGCTGATGGGCATGCTCTTGATATATTTGAGATCCGGGTTAGAATTGGTCTTCAGTAAGCCATGCTTGTCATAAGAGGTGACTAATGGTATCGGGTGGTCAGACTCACTGATTTGATTGACAAATGTCATTGTATCCCTGTTGAGTAGATCGATGCATATGCTGTTGATCACTGGATTGTCTGGTCCGATTATTTACAGATCAACGCCATATAGCTGGACTATTGCTGCGTGCGGCATAAAACTGAACTCACTCACTCACTCACTGATTCCATTACCATCTAGAATGTTGATCCCCCTATACAGAATATTGCCAATATGTTTATCATGTGGAGGTTAATTGCTCCATCATAAGTTAACAATAGAATGAGACTGAACTACATAATTTAATGACTTCTGTAATGAAACATGCCAAATTAATATGTATCTGTAATGATTTGTTTTCAGTCCTCCTTATTAATGTTTGAAATGGCGTGGAAGATGTCTAAAGACACCAATGATTTATTGTGGTGAGTTATCAAGATGTCAACACAGTTGACATTGACCGTGTCTTTTCAATTTGTCCTGCAGAGTTTGTTCAAACTTTAGGTAACGAGGAATAACCCAACAAAAGTTAATAAAATCATTAGAAATGTATGCATGTCTGGTAGCCCAAGACCACTAAATATGGACAGATTAGAATAATTGTATTCCTCGTTGAAGTATTTAAGGACTATATGTCAGTTTTGCTATAACTAAGTAACATCACCTGCTCCCTTCTTGTTCTCTAGGCTGGCTATTATCGGTGTGTCAGACCAGTATGTTCATTTCAAGACCCCAAGAGACAAGTACATGGATGATGTTATGGCGCTACAGTCTCACGTAGCTCGGCACAACCATCGGTGAGTTGTTACAACCTTAGTGCTACGATCATCTACAGTCTCACGTAGCTCGGCACAACCATCAGTGAGTTGTTACACCTTTAGTGCTACGATCATCTACAGTCTCATGTAGCTCGGCACAACCATCAGTTAGTTGTTACAACCTTAGTGCTACAATCATCTACAGTGTCACGTAGCTCAGCACAACCATCGGTGAGTTGTTACAACCTTAGTGCTACAATCATCTACAGTCTCACGTAGTTCGGCACAACCATCAGTGAGTTGTTACAACCTTAGTGCTACAATCATTTACAGTCTCATGTAGCTCAGCACAACCATTGGTGAGTTGTTACAACCTTAGTGCTACAATCATCTACAGTCTCACGTAGCTCGGCACAACCATCAGTGAGTTGTTACAACCTTAGTGCTACGATCATATACAGTCTCACGTAGCTCCGCACAACCATCGGTGAGTTGTTACAACCTTAGTGCTACGATCATATACAGTCTCACGTAGCTTCGCACAACCATCAGTGAGTTGTTACAACCTTAGTGCTACGATCATATACAGTCTCACGTAGTTCGGCACAACCATCGGTGACTTGTTACAACCTTAGTACTACAATCATCTACAGTCTCATGTAGCTCGGCACAACCATCGGTGAGTTGTTACAACCTTAGTGCTAAAATCATCTACAGTCTCATGTAGCTCGGCACAACCATCGGTGACTTGTTACAACCTTAGTGCTACAATCATCTACAGTCTCACGTAGTTCGGCACAACCATCGGTGAGTTGTTACAACCTTAGTGTTGCTGATCATCTGCTGTTTCACGATCATCTACAGTCTCGCATACCTCGGCACAACCATTGGTGACTTGTTACTACCTTAGTGTTACAATCATCGTAAGTGTGTTAGGTATGGGAGTAGAGATCACCAGGCCTTAGATTGCTGTATGCGATGCCCTGTTTCACATGCTGATGTTAGTGATTAGACAGTCATTACATCTTGTCTTTTATACACGTCTTTTAGATTACAGCTGACATTGCTCTGTGGAACCGGTTCTTGTTATATATGACTGACACACTGTACATTAAACTATCCATATTTCAACAAGACTTTACAAAATGTTAACCTTGGATTAGTCAGTTCAGGGTATCAATCCTGCAATCTACCCGGACTTAAGAGTAAACTTGATTTAGTTTGGTGAGAAAAAAAACTGCATTCAAAAAATGGTTTGGACATAATGGAAAATACTGCATTCAGATTCCCAACTGTGTCATAACTGTTGCTGTGTTACTATGGTTCCAGAGGAGACGACGAGGAGAACCTCATCTCCATCAACTGTTTGAAAATTGTGTTTGATGAGGAGCTGACGCTGACGATGTACCGCCACTGGTCCTTGTTTGAGTCCATCTGTCACTCGGTCGGTATGGCGTGCAAGTTCAAGGTGTGGACGCTCAAGGGACAGAAGAAACTCAATGAGTTCTTAGCAGAGATGGGGTAATGTCAGATATTCTGTGAGAAAATAACAGATAAAATGATGAATAAAACCATGACTTTAATCAGATAACTGCATTCTTTAAACTTGTTTCCACTTTAATTGCCCAGTTTTAAAAATTTGCGTGGGTTATTGCGATCAGCATGTCCATCCATTCATGTGGTCTTTGTTATCCCCCGCAACAACGAAGGTCCGTCCGTGTGTCCGTCACACTTTGTCCGAAGCATATCTCCTAAACTATTGGTGATAGCTTTACCAAACTTGGTACACATGTCAACCATGATGCCTAGATGTGCCTTTTGGGGGTTAGACCCAGATATGAATATTAGTTTTTGCTGTCTCCATCAGGGATGGCAATTTTCCGCTGATTTCCGCGGATTTTATGTCAAATTGTTCAATTGTGAATCGTCTAAATCCATTGAGAAAACCCCATTCGATGACACAATATTAAGTTTTCCGCTAAAAATAGATATTCTTGTTGCCATCCCTGCTCCATGGAAACGTGATTTAAGCTGTGACTATGAGGATGTCATCTTGTCTGTAGCAGATCTTCCAAACTATACATGCTAGCTTCATCAAACTTGGTACATATCTCTAGCATGATCCCTAGATGTGCCATTTGGTCAGTTTATAACCAGTTTACCTAGATAGCATACAGACGTTGACCCAACGTTGGCAAAACCATTGCCAACGTTAAGCAACGGGCCAACGTCTGTATGCTCTCTAGGTAAATTGGTTATAAATTGTGTCATTGAACCCCCCCATCCCATGACACAATATTAGTTCAGATTTAAAACAGATTTTGCTGTTGCCATCCCTGATGATGCTATGTTCATAGCAGCATTAAGCGTCACTCAATCATTATTCCCTCCCTCACTCATCCACTTCCTTCCTTCAGGATGCCACTGAACCAGTGCAAGCAGAAGTTCTCGGCCATGGACACGGAGCTGAAGGGCAACATCAAGGGCATGATACAGGACCAGATGAACAAATATGGGTCAGTTCCATCACCGATCTCTTTCACCTAGGGGGATCAATGTGGGAGTCGCTGGTTGCCTGTTCTGATGAAGTCCCATCTACAGAACGTCTCATGTACTGTTCCAATGTCTGTAAAGGATTTCCCATCTACATGGTGTCTGCTTGTCTAGAAAGGTCCCCATGTCTGATTAGGGTATTAGGGTCCCTAGTCTACATAGGTCTCCTGTCTGATAAAGTCCCATCTACAAAAGGTGTCATATACTGTTCCAATGTCTGTAAAGGATTTCCCATCTACATGGTGTCCGCTTGTCTAGAAAGGCCCCCTGTATAATTAGGGTCCCCCAATCTACATAGGCCTCCTGTCTGCAAGCTGATACGCCAATCACGGTTTCAAGCAGTTTGTGACGTCTAGGCTTATAGGTGAGGTGAGGTGAAATTGAGTTTAATGTCATGCTTGAGAATATTTCGCTCATATGACGACGTGCATGTGTGTGTATGTGCGGCTGCTTGTACTAGCCCAGACTGAAGCTGGTTTTATAGTGCTAGCCCACTGAGATACCATGCCGCAGTGAAGCATGAATACCCCACTCAGACACATTATACTGACTCCGAGCCGACCAGTCCTTGTTGTACCCACTAAAACCGAGTGCCAGGCAGGGACCAACAAGTACCATATTTTAACATCTTTTGGTATGACGCGGTCGGCTATCGAACCCGCGACCTTCTGCTCTCCGGGCGGACGCTCTAACCACTACATCACGGAGGCGGTCTCTAGGCTTATAACTAGTAATGGTAACAATGTAGCCATAATAGTTAGCATCAGCTATGTTTTAGCCATATGGTGACAAGACCATAATCTGCACAACTGTATCTTAAGACCATTCACTCACTAATCCCGCTATTCTTTGGTGGAGACTGGCATGAGGAACTAACTGCCGAAATTTGTACTGAAGCATTCAGTGAGTGAGTGAATGAGTTTGGTTTTACGCCGCTTTTAGCAGTATTCCAGCAATATCATGGTGGGGGACACCATAAATGGGCTTCACACATTGTACCCATGTGGGGAATTGAACCCGAGTCTTCGACGTGACAAGCGAAGCTTTAACCCCTGAGCTATCCCATCACCAAGGTGAGAACCAGGACGTCAAGGGTATTGACTCAGGTTTATATGCAAAACAACATTTGATAGGAATATTCAGAATGGAATAAGGTTGCTTGGAGATGGTGTCATGAAAATAGTATCCCATATAGTAAGGCTCATGTTTTTCATCTCTGTTTGAGGTTAAGAAATTTCAAAATTCAGGTACACCAGTAGCTGTTCTCAAGTTATGTCACATAGCCTGGTATCCCTTTGACATGTGTATTTTAATAATAATAATAATAATAGTGCCTATTTATAGTACGCACAAATCCACGCTCGTAAGCATGCTCATGGCGCTATATATTTGTATACCTAATCCACACTTTTCTATTTCTCCAATATTTAAATGTTTCGTACTTTCCTCACTTTGACGTTCCTCCCTTATCCAGCTCGTATGCTGAGGTTTAACATAATTATTGTTTTCTGCATAACTCTTACATTGCTTCATCCAGACTGGTGATGCAGGACATAGTGATCCCATCATTCTCAGCCCAATATGGCTACCGAAACAAGCTGTGTGCCACGGACGCTGTGTACGCATGCTGTGCAGTATTGGAAGGAACTGTAAGTACAGCTATTCCCTTCCTACTGTTACTATATTTCTCATACCAGTGTAGTGAACTATTAATTGATAAATTATATCAATGGCTGATAAAGACTGTCACAGAACCTGTCGTTCTGTTGTAGGAGAAAGGCAAGACTCCCAATGATTGTTTCCTTGATGCAGTTGATATTCTAACAAGGTAGGTGTCTGTAGATATTTTCATGCAGCTAGTGAGAATGACCTGATGATTTATGTGCATGCACAAACATTGTGCCCTGCCAGTTACAGGAAAGAGGGTCTCATCAGGTATTGATTGCATTAGGATGTTCTGAAGGTAATGTTACAGCCTCATGATACACTCCATGTTATGTTACAGCCTCATGATACACTCCATATTATGTTACGGCCTCATGATACACTCCATGTTATGCTACAGCCTCGTGTTACAACCCAATTTATGTTACACCACATATTATATTACAGCCTCGTGTTACACCCCATGTTATTTTACAGCCTTGTGTTACACCCAATGTTATTTTACAGCCTCGTGTTACACCCCATGTTATTTTACAGCCTCGTGTTACACCCATGTTATTTTACAGCCTCGTGTTACACCCCATGTTATTTTACAGCCTCGTGTTACACCCCATGTTATTTTACAGCCTCGTGTTACAACCCATGTTATTTTACAGCCTCGTGTTACACCCATGTTATGTTACAGCCTCGTGTTACACCCCATGTTATGTTACAGCCTCGTGTTACACCCATGTCAAGTTACAGCCTCGTGTTACAACCCATGTCAAGTTACAACCTCGTGTTACAACCCATGTCAAGTTACAGCCTCGTGTTACACCCCATGTTATGTTATAGCCTCATGTTACACCACATTATATTACAGCCTCGTGTTACACCCCATGTTATACTACAGCCTCGTGTTACAACCAATGTTATTTTACAGCCTCGTGTTACAACCCATGTTATTTTACAGCCTTGTGTTACATCCCATGTTATGTTACAGCCTCATGTTACACCCCATGTCAAGTTACAGCCTTGTGTTACACCACATATTATATTACAGCCTCGTGTTACACCCCATGTTATGCTACAGCCTCGTGTTACAACCCATGTTATTTTACAGCCTCGTGTTACCACCCATGTCAAGTTACAGCCTCGTGTTACACCCCATGTTATGTTACAGCCTCGTGTTACACCCCATTATATTACAACCTCCTGTTACACCCCATGGTACGCTACAGCCTCGTGGTACAACCCATGTTATTTTACAGCCTTGTGTTACATCCCATGTTATGTTACACCCATGTTATGTTACAGCCTCATGTTACATCCCATGTCAAGTTACAGCCTCGTGTTACACCACATATTATATTACAGCCTCGTGTTACACCACATATTATATTACAGCCTCGTGTTACACCCCATGTTATGCTACGGCCTCGTGTTACAACCCATGTTATTTTACAGCCTCGTGTTACAACCCATGTCAAGTTACAGCCTCGTGTTACAACCCATGTTATTTTACAACCTCGTGTTACAACCCATGTCAAGTTACAGCCTCGTGTTACACCCCATGTTATTTTACAGCCTCGTGTTACACCCCATGTTATGTTACAGCCTTGTGTTACACCCCATGTTATGTTACAGCCTCGTGTTACACCCCATGTTATTTTATAGCCTCATGTTACAACCCATGTTATTTTACAGCCTCGTGTTACACCCCATGTTATTTTACAGCCTAGTGTTAAACCCCATGTTATGCTACAGCCTTGAGTTACACCACATATTATATTACAGCCTCTTGTTACAGCCATGTCAAGTTACAGCCTTGTGTTACATCCCATGTTATGCTACAGCCTCGTGTTACACCCTATGTTATTTTACACCCTCGTGTTACACCCCATGTTATGTTACAGCCTCGTGTTACATCCCATGTTATGTAACAGCCTCTTGTTACACCCCATGTTATGTTACAGCCTCTTGTTACACCCCATGTTATGCTACAGCCTCGTGTTACCCCCCATGTTATTTTACAGCCTCGTGTTACACCCCATGTTATGCTGCAGCCTCGTGTTACACCCCATGTTATGCTACAGCCTCGTGTTACACCCCATGTTGTAGACTTATGTTACCAACCCCATTCACTGGAGGTGATGATCGCTGTCATCTCATTGTACAAGTCATCATAGTGAACCAGGTGGTCAGGCTTGGTGACTGCTTGTTGTTGAACCCCCAAGTGTTGATTGTTCATAATATCAGCCTCTTGTTTGTCTGATCCGTAGGTTTATTTACAGGCTTATTTAAATGTACTAATTTTTCCTTATCCTGACTCATGCTCTTTTGCTTGTCCCCTTCCTCTTGCGAACATAGTGGAACACTTGTATCTCCTTAATTGAAGCTCCCTTCAATGTAAAATCACTAATTGGTACTCACCCACGAGTTACCTCCCCTGCCGTAAGGGCGGGAACAGGTGTCGCCACCCTCTGGCCTCATGCTTCACTCTCTCCTTCTTCGCCCAGTGAGCAGGATGTGAGAGCGCCTGTGTCTCCTTACACACTATATCCTTTGGTTTTTCTTAGTTAGTTACCTTTTATAGCTTACTATAAAGGTATAGCTAGTATCCTTCAGTTATTTGCGTTAATAATGTAATCGTATTTCTACTGTTTATTCACGTGAGTTCGTGATTGTTCAGCTAGTTTTACATTGATGAAAAACTGTACTATTTGTAGATTACGTTTTTCCGCTGCGGATCCGCGCATGTGGTATGCCCTAGTTGTACTAGCCTTGTGCGTTTGACTCACGCGTTGCAGTTACTGCATAAATTTAACCAATTCTGCCTTTGATAAATACCATCTTTTGCGCCTTGAGGTGTTGCAGATAGGTCACGCAAACTAGGTGTAGACATGGCCGATCGCCGGATTGCCCATCCAGTCAACTGCTGTCGAAAGTGATCCCCTCCCGTCTGGTGTTCTGCTTGAGACCCCATCGAAGAGGGACGTGGGATGCAGTCCGTCACCTCTAAGAAGCGACCGGCCTCTCCAGACATCCAGTCATCGCAGACAAAGTCCAAGAGGGCCTCAACGTCTTCTCAAGCGACTTCAGACTGCCCCAGGGCAGCGTCTTCCTCCAAAGGGAAATTCCGAAGTCATCGAGAACTCTTCTCAGACGAGATCGCTCCAGCAGCAGAATTGGGCCTCTACCGATGACCAGCCCATCATCATACCCGACATCGCCACAAGAAGCGACCAGTGACAGCGACAGTGGCGTCAGCAGAGATCAACAAGCAGCCTGATGCCTCTACACTGATGTCAGGCAGCGAGATGGCTGAGGGCCCCACCGCTAACACAGCAGAAAGGGCACCATCTACTACGTCGCAGATCATCCCCAAGCGATCTTATGAAACAGATCATGATTATGATGGAAGGCCACTATAGACTGGAGCTTAGCCATCCCAGGGTCGAGGCCGCGAAGGCTCCAGCGTGGACAGCACCCCAGGGGCACCATCTGTCAGCGTAGCAGCCCGCGACAATGCAGCCTTCGCGAAGGAAGTCACAGACCACCTCGGCCGAAGGACCCAGATGTACAGCCTTCGCGAAGGCCAGCCCATGGCGGGAAGAATCATCACCTTCTTGGTCATACTCAGATATGGAATCTGATCACCAGACCACCACGCCAAGCCTTCGCGAAGGTCATATCATCGTTCCCCAGGACCCGGATATCTGAGAAGCAGCGAAGCAGCGTTCGCGAAAGAGACACCTGAACCCAGATCGTCTTCATCTAAAAGATCAGCAAGGGACTACACAAGAGCTTGGCGAAGCTATCAGTCCCCTCATAGATCGCCAAGAAGGTCAACCTATCGATATAGATCACCAAGGCGATCACCTCGCCCGATCACCTGCGTCGATCACCTCACAGGTCTGCACATAAGCCTACAACTAGATCTCCACAAGCGTCAAGCGATATAGAGATAGAGCCACACAGCCCTACATCAGAAGAGCAACAACCTCTTATCTATGATGATGGAATGGAAGATGATGGAGGAATTATTTTCTCAGATGCAGAGATAAGATATTGGATGGTCAATAATCTAGATCTCTCATCACCTTCCAAAAGTGGCAATAAAGAAGCAGACTTATCTGATGAAAGAAGATGGCGCAGATGCTATTACACTACCCCCAATCGAGCCGATTCGCGGGCGGTACCTCAGAACCTAGATACAGCATTTAACAAAGCCACAAAGGTTCAGGCGCCACATCTGCCAAATTTCGGCGCCAAGAAGTTCTCCGCATAATATGGAACCCTTCTTCAAAGCGCCAAGACATCGATGAGAACTATAAGCTGATCTCCGATGCCAAGAACAAGTACTACAAGATTGATGATGGGAATTGGTTCAGATAGAAACCATGGCCGAAGTATGTTCTTCGGTCTAAATAGATCTAGAACAATAAATGAGACACTTATCTCCAGATTTGAACCGACCTCTGAAGATGACAGAATGATTTACTCGGCCCTACTGATGCAAAGAAGGACCAGCAGTTTTTAACAGATCATCTGGCGTCTGTCTCAGCAGCACTGACCTTAGCTTCGTCGTCAAGGCCTCCTAGCTTCCTGCAACTGGGGTGAGAACTTTACAGCTCCACTATATACAGCCCGTGGTCTTCCCCATCCATATTTGTGCGGAGGAATAGACACAGTCTCCAAAGAAGTCACCAAAGGATTCTAGAAGTCCTGATGATTAAATCGATGGACCGCTAGCCAGTGTCATTCGACAGACTTCACAAAGATACTCAGGGAGATCTAAATTCACGGGCCTACAAAGAGCTAGAGACAGGAAGATTGCCAGTTCCAGGGGAAGAGATTCTTTTAAATTAAGCCCATATGGCAACTATAGAGGAGGGTCAGGGCGAGGCAGGACACCCAGAGGTTCCCGCAACTATAAGCAGCTGAAAGACAGGTTGGAGCGACTGGAGTCTTCCACCCCAGCCGTTCCAGTACAACCGTCACAAGTGGGTGTGGGCGTCTTCAACTACACTGGGAAAACTGGGGAATACTTCAAGACACCTATGTCTCCAACATTCTTCAGCAGCGGATTCATTATCCCACTACAGGCCAAGCCTCCACTAACAGTCAACCCTCACAAGTTGAGGGTAGAGGCACAACAACTACTAAAGTTAAAGAGGCGGTTACATTACTCCTAACCAAGCAGGCCATAGAAGTAATAGAGCAAGGAAACATCGAACCAGGTTTCTACTCCCCAGTTTTCCTAGTACCCAAGAAGAACTCCAGGAGAAATACAGACTCATTTACAACATGAGCTTATTCAACAAGACTTACTTAAACAAACCACCCAGGTTCACTATGATACATCTACGCCTTCTGACAGATGATTAAGCCCCATGGACTACATGGGCAGTATAGATCTACAAGATGCTTATCTGCACATCCCAATACATCCCGAATCAGGAAATACCGCCCGGTTTACGCTAGGCGGGTTACATTACCAGTGGAAAGTACTCCCATTGAATAGCATCAGCCCCATGGTTATTCACGAGGATAGCGAAACCGATTGTTATCTATCTACATCGTCAAGGGCTCGCATGAGTGCGTTCTTCCTCGACGGCCGGGATACAAGTAGATCAAGATCCACAGCATCTCAAACTACAGTTAAACTACATCATAAAGCTACTAACACAGCTGGGATGGTTAGTAAACTTACACAAGTCCGGACCTAGTACCATCGCCAAGATCTGCAATTCCTAGGAATCCGATTTATCACCAATCTCAACCGTATGAGTAGGTGCCAGAAGACCGTTGGCTCAAGATCCAACAGATCATTCCACCAGCTCTACTGTCACGCTACCGCCGACAATGGCAGAGCTTACTAGGTCTTCTAACATCAGCCCAAGACTTGACAGTCATAGGCAGATTACAGTTACGTCCGTTACAGGTCTTCGTCAATACATCTCGACGACCTACAACCATTCAGTCTACCGATACATCTCAGACCTCATCTATTATGGTGGACAAAGAAATCGAATGTCTGCGAAGGGATTTGTTTAGCAGAGCAGAATTCAAGACCCATCTATATGTAGGCGATAAGCTCCAAGGTTGAGGAGCTCATCTCTCAACCGGACGGACATCAGGGTTATGGACTCAGCTAGAAAGCAAACTCCACATAAGCGCATTAGAGATGAAAGCTGTAATCAGCGCCATAAGACATTGGAGCAACATTCTACAGAATGCGCACCTGATGATACATACCGACAACTTCGACAGTGGCGTTTTATGTGAACAGACAAGGCTCAACGAGATCGCCCGAACCTTTTGAATTTAACCTTTCAACTGTTGAATTAATCCAAGATCTAAATCTACATGTCAAAGCATGCCACATTCGAGCCAGGAATATACTAGCAGGCGCACTCTCTCGGCCACATCTACCGTCGCCCGACAGAATGGATGCTCAATACAGAGATATTTGCACAGATAATCAAGCAAATAGGGCCGCTAGTAGATCTATTAAGCCACAAGGTTCAACAATCAACTACCGACATTCGTGTCACCAGTGCCAGACCCACAAGCATGGGCAACAGGCGCTCTAAGCATTTCATGGGAAGGCCTCAATGCGTCGCAGCGTTTCAGCCCCAGCAATAATACCTCTAGTATTACAGAAAATCAACCAAGCGCCAGAGCCTACAACTCACTTTGGTCGCGCCCTATTGGCCCGGCCAGAGCGTGAGTTTCCGCCTTAATACAAGATATCGGTCAACCGGCACTAGAACTACCCAATGGCGCCAAACCTGTTAATACATCCTCACACCAAACAGGTGCACAGAAACCCAGAAGTATTCAAACTTCCATTATGGACTGTATTAAAATGTGTGTTTAAACAGAGAGGATATTCTACCAGAGGCGGCAAAAGGTCACGCGCCTTACGATACTCAACGGTAACTTGTGCGATGACAAGTGGCAAAGTTTCGAAAATTATGCAACAAACAAGGGTTTTACAGCGAGAGATGCTACGCATCCTCAGTGGCAGACTATTTGTGTTACTACACGCAAAACAAACATTTAAAAGGCTTCGACATTGTCAACATATCTTGCCAGCTTTAGTTCTGTGATTTCTATGAGAGCGGTGTTAAATTAACAAGAACACCAGAGTTACTGGCCTTACTACGTGCTTTCGATTGGAGGACCAAAGCGGAAATTCCGCGTTCCAGCTTGGGATCTGAATGTAGTTTTCACGACACCTCACAAGTGAGGATTACGAACCATTGGAATCGACAACTAGCGTTTGAATTTCTCTCACAGAAAACAGTCTTCCTGTTATCGCTAGCCCACGGCAGCCAGAATATCTGAAATTCATGCTCTAGATTATGAGAGGATACAGTTTGATGAAAATCAAAGACAGCACCTGGGATTAAGATGGGATTTCATAAGCTAAAATCAACTACCAGGTCAACCAGACAGGTTATTTCACATCCCTGCGCTATCCTCAATTCTTGGATCTCAAGATACATTGGACTTATCTCTATGCCCAATGTCACGAGCTCTCATAATCTATTTCACGTGCGTTCCAAAACAAAGGCGAAGATCGCTCAGAAGATTGTTCATCCGTTATCAGCCTACAAATCAGACAGAAGTCTCTGCGTACCACCATATCAATATGGATAAGAACTGTCATTTTCTGGCCTATAAGGCAGCAGGACTGGACCCTCCAACAGCATCAAATCCCCATGAAATCAGGGCATTGGCATCCACCCCTAAGCCCTTCATGGTAACTGTTCATTGAATACAATTATGGAAGGATGCTTTTGGAAATCTAACATGGTGTTTGCTAATCACTATCTCAGAGATATCACCACCGAGGGCGTCTCTGGCATTCATCATTTAGGTCCTTTGGTCCTCAAGCTCAGCAATTGACAGTCCCTCGTAAGGCGTTAATATTCACCCCCACGAGATTATTAGATATATGATACATATATTCACTAGCTTATAACTCCATGGAGTTCTAGGGCTATGTACATATTTAGCTTAGGTTATTCAACCTTAAGCTCATACTGAGAGTTATATTCAGTGTACAGCTACGTTAGAGTAGCAGTTTATATATATATATTGATATATCAGTATATTAGTAAGGTAATACCCCACTTATAGTGTATATATCTATGGATTATTATAAGGAAATATCCTAAGTCTCAATGCCTTATGAAGTTCCTTGAAGTTATTACAATATCACTTACTTAAATCACTAATTAATCCAAAGTATTCTGTTTACCCACCACCTCTCCGATTGGATTCTACAAGCAAAAGAGCATGAGTCGGGATAAGGAAAAATATGTAATTTTCTGAGTAAAATTGATATTTTATACTTATCCTGACTCATGAGGTTAGCCCTCCCATCCTCCCCACATAACACTTTGGATTTCCCTGTAAATTCAAGTGTTGGGCTCGCAAAATCAGGAGAGAGTGAAGCATGAGGCCAGAGGGTGGCGACACCTGTTCCCGAGCTTACGGCAGGGGAGGTAACTCGTGGGTGAGTACCAATTAGTGATTTTACATTGAAGGGAGCTTCAATTAAGGAGATACAAGTGTTCCACTATGTTCGCAAGAGGAAGGGGACAAGCAAAAGAGCATGAGTCAGGATAAGTATAAAATATCAATTTTACTCAGAAAATTACATTTTTCCTTCCACAAGCTGACCGTTGTTAACACTGCAGTCCTCCTGCATCTGATCTTGGTTTCATTTGTTTCAGGTCAAATGTGGCCGCTTTAGAGAAGGGTCTTGAATTGGCTAAACGTCAGCTGAAGGCTGTGGTGACTCAGGTCCAGACATTCCTGGACATGCATCAGGTCATCTCTGCTGGACCCTTCCTCTACGCCCTTATACAGGAGGTGAGTCATCGGTAGCAGTTAAATATCTGATATGCTCCCCACACTTAATACATCTGTAATCATGGGGTACGGTAGGTGAGCGATCTAAGGTGCCAGGCTAGTGATCCAGCGAGCTTGAGGTGCCAGGATCGAGCCCACCTGTGACCAGATGTAGAAACCTTGGAGTCAACTTTGTGTGCAGACGCTTTCAGTGTTGTCACAACCCCTAGTGTACAGTACACAACGCTGTGCACTTAACAGAACCTACAAATCCGTTAGTAAATGACCAGATAGTGGCCACATGAATATGTGCAAACACCTAGTTGAGGGTACAGCAACATGCAGTAAACATGGACAAAGTACTGTGACTATGTGTCCCAGTGCACCCAGCTGTGAATGGGTACCTCGTAGGATGGGAAAGACACATTAACTTGGTGCGTCTAAATGGCTGCAAGAGTTGTATGATCCCCAGGGAGTTGAGATGGACAGCCAATAATTGAGGGAAAAAATGAAGTGCCTTTGAGCAGCTGTGCTGAGCTGGATATTGACACTATACAAATATCATATAATAAGACCAAACCAATTTTATTTCTTGTTTTACGGATCCGCAGGCCATATTTTTTCAAGAATAAGAGAGAAAAAATACATTTTCCCCGCTCAAAAAATATATTCCTTATGTTTTTATTGGCCTAAAATGTAAACTTACAAGAAACTATATGGGGATTGTTTTTTTTTCCCCATATACACTTCATACATTGCCAGAAGCAAAATACTTTTAATATTTAGAAGAATGTCACTTTAACTGGTGAATTTATTTTTATTAGTTTTCCCTCCTGCCTTTAGGATTTCTGAGGACAGAAATCTGTAAAACAAGAAATGAAATTGGTCTGGCCTAATAATAATAAATAATAATGTAATACTTTTTTATTTGCTCAAAACAGTTTTAGTGCTGATGATACTGATATTTAGGCTCTTAATAACATGTATTACAACATACATAGCTTACATTCATCTGTTTGCATTCTCTTCCCACAGAGGTTACTTGTCATATCTTCCTACGAACCTCTGTTCTAATCGACCATATTTCCCGGTTCTCGTAAAATCCCCTAAGCGGCAAAAGATGCATAAACACGAATTATCTCCCTTCTTTCTATCCAATCAGAACCGTGTTACATCGACTTAGATTCAACTTGACTAACACAAGCAAATGTGGGGCCACAAATATCCCCATCTGCGGGACTTGTGTTGATGTTACACACAAGGCGTTTAATGGCTAGCTTGTCCGTTGTCAGCGAGAGGCGATGGAGGCGCCACTGATCCGCCATAACATGACTGAGTTCTGTCTAGAAGAAAGCGTTTAGCATCGGCGCGGGGAAGAAGTTTAGTTTTCTCGAAGCATCACGGAAATTACGAGGCCTTGCGAATGATCACTTTTGAAACAAGCGTAAGCTGATTGCACAACTAAATCTGATTGCCTCCAATCACGCGAGTCTTGAGCAGCTCACACCATGAAAGGGCATTATTAGAACAGAGGTTACGTAGGAAGATATGACAGGAGTAACCTCTGTGGGAAGAAGAATGTAAACTCTAAACGTGGAAACCATGATACAAAGCACAGCCTGTTTTTGCTCAATGATATACCGAAAGTGTTGACAAATAGGCAGTTGACTTTGAGCATGCGATAAAACGAATGATTAATAGCCATCATGTTAATACGCTCTGTCAGCTTGCTAAAACTTTGTTTTGGCAAATAAGTATTACGTATTCCATTTATTATTATTGGGCAGACCGGTTTCGTTTCAGCTGTTTACGTCTCAGAAATCTGCTCAAATATTGATATTCGCAATAAACGAAAAACGGTTTAAACGCCAAGGGAAATATGTTTTTCTCAATGGCCTCTTGTCCGTAAATAAGTGTTGATCTTGTTTCCATGATGACTGATAACAGTGTCATTCTTTATGAGCATCGCATTGCCAGGTACCCTCGGCCGTCTCTGTTACCAACGGTTGTGAGTTCTGTTAGATGTACGGCGTTCCTGGCGTCTTATATCTGGTCGTCCTGGCACCTTACTGTCGCCTACATACCCCAGTGTTGAGGGGAATGAAATGTTGCTGCCATCTCATGAAGCGTGAAGAGCAGGCTGACGACCACAGCTGACGTTTATTATTCAGCCGCGGTAATGGCAAATAATTAAACAATGAAGCTCCGCTTCAATCAAAAATCTGGTGAATTTTCATACTTGCGCCCTGTACGAGGAAATCGAAAGGAGGTCGTATTTCATGAGTCAGGATAATTGTAAAATGTCAATTTTGCAGAAAATGCGACTCTTTGCTGATGAAGCGAAATAATTGATATGTGCGAAGACTTTAAATTCATTTCGCCTCGCCTGCACAGTTACGATAGCTATCGTATATTATATGGTAACTGTACATGCGTATGGCGGGTTATTATGCGTATGCATGATTCCACTGGCGTACTCTGGCGATCAACGCCTGCGGCGTAACCGACAGTAACGAAGCACCGGTATCCTTCCGCTATTGAACGGTGATTTGTGCCGCTATGGCGATATAGTTCTGTCCATATTCATGATGTGCCGGGCAATGACGAGGATGAACTGTCTTCTGGCGATCTTTGCGTGCTCAGGTATGAGCTGGGTATGAAGTCAACATCTTAATCCCGGGAAATTGGTGGTGGAATGGCATATCTTTGTTTCGTACTATTCAACGTTGTCGTGCGTCAACGAACTGGTCTTCGCCAACTGTTACCGTTCATAAATCTGGGGGCGACGGGTATGACCCGGTAATGTCGGCTATCGTTGCATACTGCGCCAGCTGTACGTTTGTTGCTAACTTCCATGGCGTTAATGGTGTTGGCACATCACTGTTAAACACATTTTAATACTGTCCTCGTGGTTTGAGCGTAGCACCTGTTTAATAAATGATGATGTGATTTCTTTAACCGAACCCGTAAAGAGCTCTGTGATTCGATATGAAGGTATGATCTGGCACTGATAATGGAGATAGAATATCACTGGCGGCGTCACCTTATCGTATTAGGCGATGCGATAGAATGGTGCGTCTTCAGTTAATGAACAAATTCAAAGGTTCGGCGTTCATAAAGCGTACTATTACGTGTCGATATCGGGCGCGTCATGTTATCCATGTGGATTGATGCAGCGGCGATGCCCGTCGATCCCCAACACTTCATCTGCGCCGTATATTGTCGACAGACATGGTTGTCGAAGACTGTGCCTATGTCGAATAATGGCTGGTGTGTTGTCTGTCTGGAGATGATGTCGATTCGCGATGATGGGTAACAACTTTATGATGTATACGAGATGCTGGTTTAGGTCATTTCGCGTGGCGATAATGAATAACGGCGTGAATATGAGACTGTCGATACTCCGCTGTTCCGTCTGGCATGGATTGATGGTATGTGTCGTAATCATTGGGCTGTGTGAAGCTTCATGGTATGGTCTGTATTTCTCCTTGGAGATTCTTCTTCGGTTCGTGTTTCGCTAACCTTCGTGGAGTAATGACGGCCTCTTGGTTGTTGTATTCGAGGCTGTGTTGAGGAGACAGGTGATAACGTATTACGTTTCCCGGTGTGAAGCACTGACGGTTAACCGTTCGCGTTTATCTCGGCATTTGATAACGGCGGGCTTATGTTATTACTGGCTGGCGTCATCGGGACTCGTCACGGTGACGAACTGTGTGTATGATTCTCTTCGGTTGCGGAATCGAAAATGATGTTCTTTGGTCGCATCGTGGGCGACAATCGTCGTTCATTTATAGTCTGAACCTGTCTATACGTCATCATCTGTTGGCATCAAATTCTTCATCGATGTTCAGCGGCGAAGAAGGTTCCGTTGAGGCCAGATGTGGTAATGGTTAACGATATGGGTGAATCGCCTGGTCATCGAATATTATGAGGAAGGATCTGTCCGTCTCTTCCGTGCG